ACATCATTCAGTAATAATTTTTTCCTAGAAATTTAGCTTCTGCTCGGAGAGTCTCGTACATTCGACTGTGGTTCCCGAGTCGTCGCATTTACCTACGTGGCATGCAGTGGTTCTCTCGGAATAAATTCTATTCTCATGAACTCTTCAATCTCGACCCGAGTAAAGCACACTTCCCCGAGATGTACCCGGTACCCCAGACTTCACTTTCGCCGAGCTCCGAGACCGGAATCTCCGGAACACGCTTGTGTCCCTTTCCCGTGAGAGAGATCGACCCTTCCCCCCGGAAATTCTACTGTACTGAATCAGTACTGCGAATTTTCGAATCAACACCTTTTCCTCTTTTTAGTCGCTTCGAAATACATTTTTTTTCTTTTCAATTGCATGAGCAAACGGGAGATCCTCCAGGAGACCCTTTTTAAATGAATTTGTATGTATCCATTGAGTTCGACTCAGACTGTTTTCTATAGAACATTGCTGGCTTCTTCAGCTTGGCCAATTCCCAATGGATATATTGAGTGGATTGGGCGCTTGAGAATCTTCCTGTCTCCTCTCATGACCATGCATGATCGTTTTCTGAGATCTGTTCTCTCGCCACCGAACACGTTGACTACTCTGCAGAGCGGCCAGAACCCACGCGACGGACTCGGGTCTGCCATCAGGCACACGTCGCCCACATTGAGCTCATTCGGAGATGCTGGTTTGGTCTCAACTGCGTTCCTCAACTGACCCAAGTACTCGAGTCGGAATCTTTTCCAGAACGCCTTCATGACGGCCTCTTGGCGTTTCCACGCTTTCGACATAATTATCGGCATGTCCCGGTCGCTGACTTTCAAGTTGACCATCGAAGTATCTGGGAACCTGGCTCTTGCGTTGTATCCATTCACCAGATCCGCTGGGCACAGTGCTCTGACCTCACACTCACTGGATGGAAGCGCTGTTATTGGTCTCAGATTGACGCACAGCTCGATTTCCGACAGGATTGATTCCAACTCCCGAAATCTTGGTATATTCGTTCCTAAGATTTTCCGGAGTGGACGCTTTATGCAGCCCACCAAGCGCTCCCTCAGAATGAGGTATTCCGCACGGATATGATGAAGATTGGTGGTGATTCCTGGTGAATGGAGACATTTTGATTTGTGAATCCACGCTATGAGCAACTTCGTGAAATAGTTCCGCCCATCGAGGATTATCGGATATTTTTCACCGAACGACAGATCACCGGACTTGATCAATCCTGACTTACAACGTAGGATTCCATGTTCATCGACCATCGGATTGTAGAGATAAAGCTTGCTCGTTTTCGGTAGCTTTCTCCCTCCACTGGCGACTTCTGTCGGGAAATCCATTTGCTGTAGATTCCTTATAAGTGCTCTCTCTGCGTCAAGATATTCCTCGACCTGAACGGGAATGTCCATAGACAAATCCCTCTTGCGAGCTTTCTGGAAAACCCTCCTGACGTAAGCCAGCGATCTCACCGCTTTCGGCCACGATGAAAAGTGCTTCTCCTTGAGCAGAGACGACGACACCTTTGGCAAAGCCGTGACATGCAGGATGTCTGTTTCTGCGACGTTGCCATGCTTTGCCTCTGCTATTGCCTCCGCGAATTCTTCTTTGCCAATGCGGATCGGGTCCGGCAACTTTTGCTCTTTTAGCCACGAAGGTCCATTCAACCAGAACTCGACACTTTCCCTCGACTCCAGTGAGTTGCCTCTGCTGAGCAAATCAGCCGGGTTGGACTTCGTGGCCACATAGCGCCACTGATCCGGCGTTGAGAACCTCTGGATCTCGGTGATCCTGTTGGCGACGAAAGTTCGCCATTCCGATGGCCTGTCCCTCGTCCAACCGACCACAGCACTATTATCCACCCAGTAAACCGTCCTTTTGACTGTGTTTCCGAGTGCCGGTCTGAGCTTCTCAACCAGGCGACAGCTGACTAGAGCTGCCATCAGCTCCAAACGATGGATATTCCAATTGGCCTTGTTCGGCGCAACCTTCGCTTTCGCCATGAGGAACTTGATTTCCGGATCGCCGTCCTGGAAGAACTCCTTGAGATATATGACCGCCCCGTAAGCGACTTTCGACGCATCAGAGAACGCGTGGATTTCTGTCCGCCTGGGGAGTCTGTCGATCCTCGCGTTTGTTCGGCTAACGAGGATTCGATCCGCAGACTTGAGCTGCCGAACGAACTCTCCGTAGAGCTCACGATGTTTTGCGTTGAGACGATCGTCCCATTGAACTTTGTCCTGCCACATCATTTGAAACAGCACTCTGGCATGTATCGAAATCGGACAGATTATTCCGAGAGGATCGTAGATTTGAGCCAACCCTGAGAGCAGCGAACGCTTGCTCGGTTTCGCATCGTTGAAACATCTGTTGGCGTTGGTTACGAAAACACCAAGTGCGTCCGTAACCTGACACCAGCGTATCCCCAGGAATCGAAAGTCTGGTTCGGCGCTCCGAATCGACACTGTCTCATCGGAGAACGCTTGCCTCATTCCTTCCGCCACTTCTTCCGAATTGGTAGCCCATTTCTTCAGCGGGAAGTGCCCGCTTCGGAAAATTTCGACGCATCGTTGTATCTTTGTTAATGCTGTCTCTTGGTTAACACTACCGAAACTCAAATCATCCATGTAACATGAGAACTGCAGCTCATTGATGAACTCAGTCTCAGACGGCCGACGAGTCTTCTCGCCATCCAGATGGAATTTGAGGCCTGCTTGGTATAACCATGGGCTAGCGGAAGTCCCGAAATCCAATCTTTTCGACCAGAACTCCTTGATAGGAGCTCCGGCGTTTCTTGAGACTCCGGGCCGATAGTAGTATCTGAGGAACGTTCGGTGTGATCGATCGATTTCAAACTGATGATATGCTTTCTCCACATCCGCCACGACGGCAATGGGAGACTCTCGAAATTTCGTGAGCACGAGGAGAATGTTCTGGAGTAGGTTGTATCCTGTTATCAGAACGTCGTTTAATGAAGCCAGATCCTTCGAACGACAACCTGCATCCTTGACAATCCTCAACTTGAAGCCCCTAGGTGACCCTTGGTCGGGTTTCTTGACCACCTGGAGTGGTAGATAATGCACGAATTCTCCCGGCTTCCGTTTCGGAGCCAGCTCGGCATAGCCCTCCTTGATGTATTTCTCCATCTCTTCGTCGATCGCCTCGAGAACTTCTTTGGAACTCCGCGAAATGAGCGAGTTCAATCTGTTGATAGCAATCTTTTCATTGTCGCCTAGCGACTGGAGATTTTCGTTGAAGATGAGCTTAAGTCGATATCTCCCATCTTTGTTCCTCGAGATGTTTGCCTTGAACAACTCATCCAGGCGTTGCATCTCTGCTGCAGTTTCGTTTTCTGCTGGCGGTTCGACCCCAAGTAGCTCAGTCTCGAACAAGAACTCAATGTCTCGTTCTGTTTTCGAGTTTTCCCGAGCCTCGGTGGTGGATTTCAGTGACTGTTGTTGCTGTTGAGTTGACGCCGACGACTGGAGTGCACACACGACGTTGGTGAACGGACTGAGCGGCGCCTTTCTTCCGAAGGTGAACCACCCGAGTCTTGTTTTCAGTGCCATCAGCCGTCCCTCCGACCGCGACTCGTTGAGCCATATTTGAACCCAGGTCATCTGTGCCGAGGAGGATGTCAATCTCCTTGAATTCGGGATCCTCAACGAGATCTGCGAATTCGCTGATTCCGCCCAGCCGCTCAGCTGGAGGGAAGATTGAGTCCGTGATCACTGGAATGCCAAGGCATTCGACGGGAATGGATTCTTGAGGAGCAAATCTGCTCGTGAGATTGATCCTATCCTAGAAACTTGAGGAGAGCTTCCAACTGTTTAACCGCGTCGTCGGTCTCCGACACCTCGTGAACTCGGAGAAACGAATCCCTGACTGAGCTCGGTAGGTTATCCAAGACCATTGGCAAAATCATGATCGCGGCCCCAGCGAAACCACCCTCGAGAGAAGATTGAAGAGCTTTGATGCTTTGTGATAGAGACGGAACCACTACGTGCCACTTATCTGGGATCCTGAAGTTCTTCGTTGAGCAGGTCTTGATGATATCAGCGGCGTACGCGTACTGTGCCGAAAACACACTTCCGTATTCTTCCTTGATGATTGACAGCGCTGTGTCGTAGAGTTCCTCCTTCAGTTGTAGATGAGCGATGGCCTTCAACGCGTTCCCGGACAGACAACTTTTCAGTTTCTCGAACTTATCAAGTTTGTTGACACGATCACTGACGGCTGACTCGAATAGTCCGTACCACTCTTGGAACTTTTTGGCATCGCCAGAGAAACTCGGGATTTTCTTCTCCTTCTTCACGACAATGTCTTTGGTGAGCACCATTTGCGCCGAGCCCTCGGTCGTCGACGAGTTCGCCATACTAGCCGCTCTTCCACGCTCCCTGGCCCTGATTCTCTCTCTGAAGACTTCCACCACACTGAGAGCCCGAGATTGTTTTTTCTTCGTACTCGATGCACCTCTCGTTCCACTCGTCACGCTGCTTCTGCTCATCCGCTGTCTGTGGGTCTTCATGAGCGCACTTATCAGCTCGTTGAGATGGTTTAGTCGACCCTGGAGATCAGACAGCGTTCGATCCTCGAACAGGATGTCTTCCATCGATGGGTCATTGGTTGACTTTTTCCACTCCGCCACTGTCTTGCAGTGAACGGTTACTCTCGCACGGATGTGAGTTCTCTTCGAGGTTAGTTCTTCATATGTATCGACACGAGCGTCGCTTTTCAACGCAACGATCGGCGCCATCCTGCCCCTCGTGAGATTCTTTTGATAGATTTACCGCTTTGGCTCCTCAGCGACTGATTTTGATGGCGCTTTCCGAGCTTTGGTGGATGCGGCTCGCGATGATGATTTGCACTTTCACTTTTGATCTGACACCAAATTGTGTTGCATGCAATTAGGGGACCTGGTTATAGTCGCGAACTGAACTCGGGCCCTAGGCAACACGTCAGGATTTCCGAGCTTCGGCTCGTTGATCGTTTGAGGTCGCGAAGCGCCAAAGATACTGGGGCTCTGGATACGAGCTGCTCGTTCCGCTACCTCTGTTTTCCTTCTGTTTATCTCTGTTCGCGCGCCTCTAGATGGCTGCGCCGCGACGTCGCAGTGGTGACGTCACGCGAGACCGACAGTACCTGACGCGGTTACCGGGGGACCCGAAGTTACAGATATTTATTAGTCATTGGCATAGTATTCCTAGGACATAAATAATTCACACTAGATTCCCAGATCACTACGCAGCTGAATCACGGATACATCCCGTCTTTCGGAGGGAAACCCCGAGGGCGCCCTCAGACGGGAGCTCTCGTAATCTCATCTCTGCGCGCTTCCAATATCTCGTCTGGAGCGCATGTGACAGAAGCGGGACAACAGGAAAGCGGGACAACAGGGAAGCGGGACAACAGCGAAGCGGGACAACAGGAAAGCGGGACAACAGGAAAGCGTGGAATAGGGAAAGCGTGGAAGAGGGCCAACGGGTGAGCGGGAAACGAGACAGCCGGAAAACCGAAAAGACGGAAGAGCGAGGAAATGGAGGAACCAGAGAGCAGGCTGAAAGGGGGGCGTTGGGAGCTGGGGAAACGAGAAAGGTGGGGGGATGAGAAAAGACCAATGAGACCACTCCAGCAGCAAGCGAATTACTATCGAGCGCATCTGGAGCAAGCGTACCTGGAGCAAGCGCACCTAGAGCACGCGCAGTCAGAGCAAGCGCACCCGGAGCCAACGCATGTGCCGCTTCGCGACGACTCGGTACCGCTAGTATATTATAAACATATCCATTTTCAGCAGCCGTTCCTGGTATTTCAAATATAATTCACCACTGCGAGACTTCTTTGTCAATTAATTTCCAGTCGAACCTGCTGTATTCAGCACAATGAAACAGGTCGAGCATCGCATCATCTATCTCTACAGGCGACATCCATCTCAGGCATTTCCTAGTGCCAGAGCTTCGGGTGGATGAGGGCGTCATAGGCGGGCTGTATGTACGTCTTTCTGAGGTCTCCCGTGAGAAGGGTTGCTCCCGAGATTCGGTAAGTTATCCTGTTCTCGGAGGTTCGATATTCTCGATATTCCGAGGACGCTCGTTAGGCAGGCGGCCTCCAGCTCATCGGAGTCTTCGAGCTGGGGGCCGTCGAGTGTCGCCTTGTGAGCTCTATCCCACAAAGCGCGATCGAGGAATTTCGGTCTCAAACAACTTTGAGGCGGTGTCTACTGATAGCTAGCATGGTCGAGGTATCGAACCGAGAGCCAGCCTGCTCTTGAACCGTCTCTGCTGGGCATGCGATGCGAATCGGAGTCCTCTGGCACTGAGCTCCGCTCTTAGGTAGCAGAACGACCCGACTAGTTCGATCTGGACACCGTCCAGTCTGAAGATGTCGCCCGGTGCCCAGACAGTATACTCCAGACAGGTTCCTCACGGCTTGCTGAGGAGGTTGGCGCGATCGTGGGAGTAGAGCTGCGTCGTCGGCGTAGAGAATCATGTGCTCTATGTCGTTCCGTCGAGGATCTTTCCTGGAAGATCAATCAGGAGTGCTGAGAATGGAAGCGGACTCAAGTTTTCTCCTTGTGCAACATTCGTCGTTCGTGGGAATGTGGGGAGTAGATTCACTCTGTCCTCGAGAGTGAGTCCACCCTTCTGGAGTACGTTGCGTATTAATTCTAGCATTTTGAGTCTCAAACCAGTCTTTGTGAGCTCCGCCAAAATTGTGTTCCTCGGAGCCATATCGAAGGCAGACTTGTAGTCCACGTACACTGCATACAGCGCAGGATTGTTCTTCCTCTTTTTCTTTGCGCGCTCTATCTGTTCGAGTGATGTCTTGCATGCCATGATCGTAGACGTTCCACACCTGACACCGCAAGGTTCGTCGGATATAACTCCCTTGAACTCAAGGGAGCGACTCAGTCTTCCCGCCACAAGAACCGAGTGTACTTCGCTGAGAACGTTCCGTTGGCGATGCCTCGCCACCGGACACAAACAACTCGTCGCCGACCAAGTCATCGGCGAAGTCTCAACGCCGACTTCTAAACGTCGGATAGCTCAACGCCGAGACAACTCTACGCCGAGACAACTCATCGCCGGACAAGCGAAGCCGAGAACCTGTCGCTAACTCGATCCTGGCTCAGGAGGCACACTGCTTGAAAATGATGCGTCCAGATGATTTGCTTTCCCAAGTACACAGCTTGACGATTGGTACTTCCAGACAAGTCAACGACTTCCACACGTTGACGGCAGTCGAATACCTACGCGGGTGCGCAGAGACCTTTCTTTTGAAACCTTGAATGATTGCGTGCATATCGGAAAAAGCTCGATAAAAAGTAACTAAGCGGACGTGGTTGATGAACACTGCCGCAGTTCTGGCCGTTTTCGCAGATTCTACGCTTAAGACTTGTCATGAGGTCATGTGAGAATAAAATGACATAAATATGACGAAGCAGGAACGCAACATCTGATTTGAGCTGAGCGCATCATATTCGCAGAGAACATCCGGAGCAGGCTAAGTTTCGGCGTTGAGTTGACCGGCGATCAATTGTCCGGCGATCAATTGTCCGGCGCTAGGTTGTCCCGGCGCGGCGTTGGCTTGTCCGGCGATGAGTTGTCTCGGCTTCGAGTTGTCTCGGCGTTGAGCCATCCGGCGTTGAGAAGTCGGCGTTGAGGTTTCGGCGATGATCTGGTCGGCGATGATCTGGTCGGCGATGAGTTGGTCGGCGATGTGTTGGTCAGCGATGAATTGTCATGTACCGCTCGCCACGGATCGTCTGGGGCCTCGTTTGCCCTCGGGAGTTATCAGGAGACAGTCTTTCCGGGCAGCTGAGCCGGTCGGAGCTCTTGCGCAGCCATCGATGAGGACTCTCTTTTTTGAGGAATCTCCTAGCTGACATAACACACTTTATCATAGTAAAGAATGATAGCTGCCTAGGCTTCCGTGGTGCCGGCACGGCTCGATGACGCGACGGTACGCGGTCTCGGAGCTCTCGTTCGCTTCGCCTGCCTAGCCCGTTGCGGCACTCTATGTGATTTTCATGGTATCGGCGCAGCTTAAGCGCAATTTGAGCGCAACTTAGTTCGAGCGCACGAGTTCCAACCCACGCGCGCGGGCTTCGAGACGGAGCTCCAGCTCTGATTGTGGCATTTTTCCTCGATGGAAGACCCGTTAGTCTCCGTGTCTGCTAGACTCAAAGCCATCCGTCTTTCCAAACCGCATCGTCCCTGACTATATACAAAATATGGATACGTACGCTAGCTACGTACACCGTGCGCGTATTCTTGGAGGAATAATGAACGCCCGCATGCCGTCCAAGGTCGACGAGGGTATCAGCTCTCATGGCTCTAATTGACTCTCTCTCCAACACAGTCCCAAGCCAGATACGCAGCTTGAGACCCCTCATTTTGATAGCGGATTTTCCATAATTCCCAGCGGCACAGGATGCGAAGATACTCGCGCCTCCACTATCAATATGGCAATCCGCTCTGGCATGGGACTCTAAACATACCATCGAATCTCGATTTCAAAACTTCGATCTTGTAGGGCTGTAGGTTCCAGATTTGGAGTAAGGTGCCGAGGTCGATGACTGTAGAAGAATTCATCCAGAAAAATGAAGTGGATGAAATAATCGGAACCCTCCCTCAGAAGCGTGATCCGATGTCCTTGAAAATGATTTCAAGGCTTCTCTGTCTTCTGAAAATCCCCTGCTCGAATTCCTCACAGGGGTTACATCGGTTTTTTGGCCACATCTGTCACCTTCTGTTTAATTGACATAGGCCCGAAAACACCACGGGGTCCGTACGGATTGCCTGGACCTCCGTGCATGGGTCCTGGTAGAGCATGTGACTGCATCATTCGAGGTACGGGGCCTCCCGAAGAACCTCCGAGGCCACCGCCTCTCCCTGGAAACAACATCTGCCGCACATTATAGAGCTGCGCCAGGGATTTTCTTCTGTGAAGTCTTTGTAGGTGCGTCAGGTCTTCGTCGGAGCCCCTGACCCCGAGATCCGGTCTACCCGGGTGCGGGCCCCGCGCGGAGGGTCCATCTATTGCGAACAGTGTGTTCACAGGTGAATTTCCTGGGACAATAGTGCCACCGTTCTTAACGCGGGGACCGTCAGCGCCCGGAATCCCGGAAGATTAGCCCTTCATTGGACCTTGGAGTTTACCCGGAAAGAAGTGATTGCCCATGTAAGCAGGTTGATTAGGCGAACCGCCCATCGGCCCAGCCGGCAGGGTACCTCCAGGACCCCAACCTGGACTCATCGGGCCCATCATGGCGTGTCTTCCCTCTAACCTCTGCCAGGTGCATGGCTGTGCACAGTCGAACGCTGCAACTGAGGGGAACTGTACACACAGAACAGCTTCAGCAGCTTGGTTCGCCATGTTCCTCGTTAGAATGACGAGTGGCGTGCCTGAGGCGTGTTTTCGGGTCTCGTTAATGGGGTTGTCCGCTCGCCCCTCGGGTAGACGTCGATGAGTATTCGTTCTTGCGATTACCCCAAGGCTCGTCACTTTGGCACCTCCCGGACACACTGACGCCGGCTTCGAGCTTCTCAGCTTGGGCTCAATCTGTCAAGAAAGAATCGTCATACATAAGCCGGATGGCGCAGTGAAATCTGAACTCAAATCGAGAAGTTCTCCGGGAGACATCTCATACAATCGATCGTGGAGTAAGCGACACACTCAGAGAAGTCACTCATGTTGCCCTCGACGTGACGGAATATCAAAGCTGCATATTCGCGTCGATGCCCACGAGCTCCGGAAATTGGTTCCGAGCCGATGAGGAGCGCAAATCCCTTGCTATGACTGGGCCGTATCTATCTTCTGGGTTAAGTCGTATCGATGGGGGAAGAACCATCTCCCGCGTATTGTTGTTCGGATCCCCGTAGAATGCTCTGTCGTGGGCACATCATTCGTTTAACATCCACCGAGATCGTTCTGACAATCACACAACCTTGCCTAGTTTCCCCTCGCCGGGGACACCAACCAACCTTTACATCATCATTATTAGATAAATTGCCGTCTAGCGATTGTGCCACGAAGTCGGTGAGTCCGGGGTAATCCTCCCTCGCAAGGGACGTCATTCGAAGCAGCCGCGAGCGGCGCCAATTCTCCACGGAGTCAATTGGTGTCGTGTGGTGGAACTGTCAGATTGAGTTGGAAGAGTCTAGAGATGGGGTAGACTCCGGATGCCGATTTCTGCCAACTGAGTAAGCTTCCGCCTACCTTACGCCTAACGCCCGACTTACGGTCGTCTGTAAACTGTATGTCAGCAGACCGAGCACTGATCTCTATTAGCCTTCAACAGGAGATTAGTCTCCGTGGACATCTGCCACGAATCATCTCCGTATTCTTGATGAATGTGGAGGCAACGATTCGCCGTCAATGCGGAGGTTCTCGAACTTCAGAAGCAGAGGGCTCAGCTCTACCGTCTGCAGCTCCGAGCCTGCCTTTCTGTGAAACCGTCGAACTAATTCCGAGTACCCGAGCCCGAGAACCAACAACACGACCGAACAGAGGTCTGATGGCAGAGCTTCGGGCACACTATAAGTGAATGGGGATGCTCAGGGAGTGGCTGTTCAGCTAGACACTGAGAAGTTTGTCTCTCCTGAGATCGTTTCCTTTTCGGAGTGCGGCAGGTCGATTTCCCCGACTCGATCAAATACTCGGCGACTCACTGTCACTTATCTTGTCAAGAAAATGATCCGATGCCAAAGAGACCGGAGAGCGCTCGGTCAGCCTGGAGATCTCAGCAAAGATCATCAACATCGCTCCTTCTCTCTTCGGACGACGAAACCTTTTCTCTTTGATCCCTCGAAGGTCTTCCTCGAGACAGATTCTGATCGGCGATCTTCTTGAACTCTCTCCGATGTTCTGATATCGAGATAAATTGCTTCGAAACGCTGACGAGCGCACAAGCCGAATCAGAAAGCAAATCACTGCCCCCGAGAGCATGGGGGGCGGTCGTCAGCAGCGCTGCTGTCTGCTGCTTATCGAAATATTTACTTTCGGGAGAAACGTTTTCGCCGTGCGGCAAATTCTTAAGGGAGTTGCTGGGAATTGTCTTTTCTCGAAGATACGGATATTTTTCGTGCTATAATTTCACTCGACCGTTATCGTCGCTGGAGATACTCCCGATCGCCGTTGGCAGTGCGTCGCGTCAATCCAGAGAAATGGCCATCAACGTCGATTCATTGACGGAAAGATTCGAATCGCAGACTCTAGATCAGGACGAGGTGGTGAACTTCAAAGGAGCTGGGAAGAAACTCGACAACAGAGAGGACATCGAGCCAGTCTGTCAGGCTCTAGCGGAAAAGCCCGATGTCACGATTTTCTGTCTCCAGGGCAACACCCTCGGCTCCGATGCGGCGAAGTGTCTCGGTGATTCGTTATCAAAGTGTCCGAAACTCCAGCGGTTGCAATGCGAGGACATTTTCACGGGTCGCATGAAGACAGACATTCCTGTTTCCTTGGGACATTTCTCGACGGGACTCATATCATCCGGATGTCAGCTCGTGGAGCTCGACTTCTCGGGAAACGCGTTCGGTGAGCTTGCCATCAACGCTCTGTACAGCCTTCTGACGGCGTCAACGTGTTTCTCCCTCAGAGAGCTACGGCTTCACAACACGGGTCTGGGACCCTCGGGCGGTGTGAGATTAGCCCAAGCTCTCCTGGAATGTCTAGAGAAATCTGAGGGAGCCTTCAGGCTCGAAACGTTCGTGTGCGGTCGCTCGCGACTCGAGAACGAGGGCGCCAAAGCGCTGGCCAAGTTCTTCGCCAACTCACCGGATCTCAAGGAACTCATCATCCCACAGAACGGAATCTTCAAGGAGGGTCTCACAGCGATAGGCGAAGCGCTCACAAACTGTCCCGAAATTCTCGCACTCAACGTCAACGATAACATCTTGAGTGCGCACGGAGCGGAAATGATCAAAACCTATCTCGCTCAGTTGACCTCTTTACGGTATTTGAATGTCGGAGACTGCGTTCTGAGATCGAAGGGAGCCGAGCACCTAGCGGAAGCGATTCAAGAGCTCCACGATTTGCGAGAATTGCATCTCGGTCATAACGAGATAGAGATCGACGCCGGGCTGAAGATTGTTGAAGCTGTAGCCAACAAAGCGAACCTCAGCGTTCTCGAACTCGACGGAAACTGCTTCGGAAAACAAGGTATCGCACTGATTGAGGACCGAATGGAGAAACTCGGTCTCATCGAGGCCCTGTGTGCTTTCAGCGAAGACGAGGATGAAGCGGACGAGGACGAGGATGACGATGGTGACGGTTCCACTTTTGAGAGTTTCGCCGCCAGCCCGACATTGGAATCGCTCTTACAACTTCAGAATCCCCGGGAGCAGTCCCAGGCGTACTTGGAGAACTTCCAGTGCCTGAGTCACGCAGGTTTCCTGAGGATCCTTGTTAAAATCGCATCCGCCTGCGATGGGTCTGAAGAAGCGGTAGAGAAGGCGACTGAATGCGCAGCACCTGTCATGGAGAAAATCGCCCAACTGAAATACGAACCGAACGCGCTCGTGAACGAGTTCGCAGTCCACTACGGTTTCGTCAAAGACGAGGAAAGGAGTGTCAGGACCTTGAAGGATATCACGGGGCTCTTACTGATCACCGCGAGCTTCCTCAATCGTCTCCCCGTGGAGGTTTCGAGCGCACTGAAAACCTTCGTGTTGAACATGGACGCCACTAAATGCTCGAAGACTCATATCAAGAAGGTACTGTCGCTCTACGAAAGCTTCTGAATGAATCCATGAGATCTCAATAAGGGATTCCCAACGCTCAAGTTTGATGTGATTCGGCTTTACAACCCTCTCGGAACATCAGACATCCCATTGATCATCCCGTTTCACCGTGCCCCGAACTTGGCTTTTGCATGGAGCTACGTCTGTAGAGGAATGTCGATTGCGAGAATCGTTCCCAACTGGATAGTATTTTACATCGAAGAAGTTGTATTTTTCTCACTCGTGATGATTTGAACATGTAAATGTAAAGTAAAATTAATGATCTATTGAAATGTATTCGGTATCGACTTCCTTCCGAGATCAAATGTGAACAATGAGCCGGAATAATTCAGATGAGTCTGCTCTTTCCCCCGCAGTTTAGCGACGGTTCATCTCGTGCTCACCGCATGCTTCAGTAAGTGACGGCGAGAGTCTCTGCGAGCGAATCAGGCTCCCCCGGATCGCAATCGAGAGATTTTTTCGAAACCGAGCAGCGCCGAGGTTCTACAAGGCACTGTATCCTGGCGTCCTGACCTCGCACACAAGGACTCATCGATAATCAATCTCATTCGATAAACGCGGATTTCCAATCTTTCTTCCCTCCCACACCACGGCATCCTTTGTGACTGCAGCGAGTCCTGAAACATGCATGTCCAGCCGTCTTTCAGGTATGTTCTCGGAAGACCGGTCAGAGCTTAGCACATCTCTGACCACAATCACAGCTCTCGAAGGACGGCCGAATCGAACAGCAAGGGAGTTTTGCTCCCTCTGCATTGTAGTTGGTCACGGGCGAGAGTTCTGCAGGGTCTCGAGAAGCGACTCCTAATTGCCGGGCTCTGATTCCGAATTCTGCATCGCGTTCGTTCCGCCCCTCCTCGGTCGTGGTAAGACTCCCCTCTCCCAGGAGATTAAATTCGATCTGATCTGTTCTCTCCGGTACGATCGGCGCGAGACTGCACTGACCTCCCACGGGCAGTTATGAGCTGCGCGCAGGCGTCATCCGCTCGGTTTTCTGTTGATGCATCCCTTACCGGCTGCATGGCGGCCGCATGTCAGTATGCAGATTATTTCGAATTACTTTATTTGATTCGCTTCTCATTCCCTGACTCGATCTCCTTCGAACATCCAGCTCATTGGCTGCTCCCGGGGACGATGGCTCCAGTCCGATAACCGTTCGGGTTATTTCCTACGGTAGCCTGCTGTCCGTATCCTCGACTGCCCGGTGGCAAGAAACCCGTCTCTGGAATAGATTTGTCGGATGAGATTTTTCGGCTGTTCACCAGCTCACTTGTCGCCTCGCGAATCTTTTCGCCGTCATTCACGGGCTGGGTGCCGCATCAGATTCATGCAGGGAAAGCGGGTTCCAAGTTCCGAGACTCACGATGGCCCGGGACGATTACTCCGGTTCTGTAGCCGTGAGGATTATCTCCGGTTGTTGCCTGTTGTCCGTGGCCACTGTGGCCGGGCGGCAAGGGGAGCTTACCGGTCTCTGAGGATGGTGAGACATCAGCAACAAGAATCGGGGCGATCGGAGGATATTTCCGTCAAGGGCATTATTGAATCTCGAGGAAGTTCACTCACGACATGTTTGTCCGGTAGTGGCTTGTCCGCCGTAGGAGGAATGGCCAGGCGGCAGAGGCAATTTGCCAGTATCTGGAGCGGGCATTCCTCAGACTTTTAAAGGTTGACGCGTGAAAATATCGAAAGCGAATGAATGTACCTCAGGAAGCAGCACGCGCTCGCAAAGCTCGACGATGGAGCCGAGCCTTTGACCCAAAAGCGACGATCGCTTCCGAATCTCGGCTCCCGGAGTCACCTCAATCCTTACTTACGATAGGTTTGTCCGGTTGTCGCTTGCCGGCCGTGGCCCTGATGGCCTGGAGGTAGAGGTCGCTTCCCTGTATCTGGTGCCGAAAAGAGTTTTTGATTTGGTGCTAGCGAGTCTGAAATGCGGAGTTCTCTCAAAGGGGAGTTCCCCGGGACCCTCCGGGTGACTTACAGCGCTGTTGTCCTCCTATAGTCGCTTGCTGTCCGTAAGAGGAATGACCAGGCGGCGCGGGGTAGCCGTTCGCTGAAATCGACGTACCGTCCTCAGACTCGAATCTCAGCGACTGATCTTGTCCACTTCGAATATACATGTACGTACCGTTCCCAGTCGTAGCCTGCTGGCCATACGCTGGACTTCCGGGTGGAAGAGGAGAACCTGAATAAGATCGATTTGAGTCGACCGATCCCAATATGATTCACATCATAGTCGAATTGCGGACTGAGCGATTACGGTATAATTTCGATTTCACCGGGAGGATTCGTCGGCCAAATTATCGCTAGAGGTGCGCTCACCTTGTCGTTGGCCATAAGACTCGTGACCCGGTGGTGCTTGAGCGGATGCCAAGGTAGCGAGTGTACAAAGAACGAATACTTTCATTTTGCTGCTGAGGAGAAAGAAAACATCATTGCGATGAGAGATTGCTAGGGTTCGAGCGAGTCATGTGAAATAGCCGGGGCACATGGGGCGCTCACATGTCGATGTCGGTAGACAGGAAGCTCCCTCAAAAGCTGGGAGTGCTCCTTTTATAGGAAAAGTAACCCTTCCCCTTCCCAAGTGGGAAATCCTTGAGAATTCTGGTTTTTCCTTCCTCTCTCTCTTCAACGATAGTGGTGATTACGAACTGTCAATTTTAGAATCTCATTTTCTCGGAGGTATGATGACACGGCAGCTCCCTGGGGTTTCCATCAGCTTCAGCCGAGGCAGGATGTCGCGGCACCGCCGCGCTCCGCGTCTTCGGCTCTTCTTATTCCGCGTACCGTCTATTCGTCTATTGTATCCGATGCTCCTCCAGAAACGGATGGCGTAGAACTCTTCCGAGATGTCAATCGACGTTCCCGTTCCGTCTTCGAGCCCCGTCAATCTCGCGCACACATAAGTAGGTCCACACGACAGTCTCACAGTCATAAGTAGGTGTCTCCCATCGTTCCTGCGACTTTCTCTGTGAATGTTCCGGAGCTCTATGCCGCCCGGGACTCCGATTTGCATTTCCTTCGCTCAGCTCAACGAAGACGATGCGGCTGGTTTGAACGTCTAATTTCCAGGCCCATAATTGAAGAAACCCAATAAATTGAAGAGACGAGTAGAGGATTGTTTTTTGGCTGATCACGATTTCTGGAAGCTTGAATCTTGGATCCGGTCCAATGGTGATCGGCAAAAAAATGTCTGGTCATTCCCAGGAAGCGGTAGAGCTCGGATGCGAAACTAATTGATTGTCGAATCGCGGCTCATACGGCACCCTGGAATGAATCGTCTGTATCGCAAGTCTTTGGTTTAAAACATCCCGCAATCGATCCTGAACAAGAGCATCCCCGTTTAGTTTTCGATCCTCTCGTCAGGCCTTCATCCGTTCCAGCTTGCCCGTCTATGTATCGATCCGACGTCGGACCACTGGGGGACCGGGAAGAGAGACGTTTCACCGTTTCCAGGGAAGCAAGCTCGGATTCATGCCGTTCCTGAAGCCAGATCCGTTGCTTTCTCCGAGAATGCCGAGGATTTCCGGGACCCTAGGTGCTCGTATATAGGAGCATGCCGGCTGATTGGAGCGCCGACAGGGGACCAGATGCACCGGGAGAACATGTGACACGGGAAGAAAATACCAGAAGTTCACCATTCGCAGGAAAGCAAAAATTGCTCTCTCATTCTCAGCTGGCATCATTGCACTGTCATCGCTTTCCTGATTTGTCTTCAGTCATTCCGGTCGCAATTTTTTCAGCTTGTCTTCAGTCACGTCAAATCCGTCTTTCCCCACAAGCACCACTCGCTCACTCGTGACGAATAATTAAGGGAAGACTTAGCGAATCGACTGCTGTGGTGATGCTCATTTTGAAGAAGACTCCACGATCGGTGATTTCGCCTCTGCGCTCGGTGTGAGACTAACTTAGTGTCAATCCGGCTAAACAGAAACCGATGAGGAATGACATGGAGATAAGGGTCACTCCGACCCACAATCGGAGCAGACAGATCTTATTGGAGGCATCGAGCCCGATGCGGATTCTTTCCTCTCATCCGTAAGTGGAGCCCCAGTCTTCGGCGCTCGCTGCCCTCCCTCTACGACCACATCTCTAATCCCGGAATCGTCTGATGGCGCCTCGTTTTTATCGCCACCGCAACTATTGTCCAACTTGCGGACTTCCTCTAATTAGTCGAATCCGATAGTATCAGGTATTTCCTGGTCAACCAGCGGTTGGTTCCGAGCTCCCTTGCTCTCTGATTTTGGCCCTGGCTCTGACTCATGAGCTTCAAGGTGGGCCAATTCCCGACGAAGCGCGGGGTGTCGTGGTTGTCGGGGACTTACCGTGAGGGAACGCAGGAGGGGCTTGTTTCTGAAATGAATTTCGATTCCGTCATGGAATCGTCAGCTTCTGTGATTCGAGACAAGACGCGATCTTCTGGGAGACTCATCGGGAGTCAGTTTCCCGACAATGCAGTTTTATCATGATTCTCCCTGAGCGTCGATTCCCGTGACCCGTGACGCACCGGTTGCTGTCTCGCCTCCCCCGTGACCTCAGGTGTTCTTCGCACCTTAGGATGAGGATTTTCATGGAATCAGCTGTCTCTGTCCAGCTAAAAGTCGAGCTTGAGACTCATCGTGATGCGAAACAAGAGTCGGGCGCCAATCAGAGGGATGTGTAAAATCTGAAATGAAGGAGTTCATCTCACCCGGTGGTGAGAACGCTCGAACCTTCATTCCTGACGGAAGTTCATCGTTTCATTGCAGGAAATATCGTTTATTCGAGGATATCATCGTGAACGCGCGTTTTTCGGGAGACTCTGTCTCCCCCGAGAGTCTTGCGGGGGGCAGCTTAGGCAGCTCTTCCTCCGCCCCATGCCCTGTGTTTAGATGAAAAAAAAGCATCCTACATTCGGGTCTACCTGAATAAGAACAACATGTAGAGCATGGACCCCAGAAGAGGCAAGCTTATTAATTTTGACTTCTCCACCGCATTAGAGCAGTAGCTGCCTCCCCATCCTCTTATGATTTTTTCCAGAGAATTCTTCCCTTCTCCCTCCATCCGTCTTCCTCCGCATTTCGCTGCAGTGTATTTCTGGAGCAGACACGCTCCGTGATCGATCAGGGCATTGCAGGTTGCTTGTCTGTCTAGAAGACGCTCGAATCTCAGGATTTCCTAGAAAATATCAGAGGAGCGATCATCGGCTGGAACGCTGGGGCTCAGCGAATCGAGGAGCCGGCTAGTTTTCACGCAGTATTTCGATCTTAGCCTCACCTTCCAGGTGTACATGGTGACGTTATGCGATCTGCATTGAGCGTCAGCTTCGAGGTAGCATCTCGCATTTTGGAGGGCATTCTGGATCAGAGTCCTATCTCTCGTGTCGCACAGCAACTTCAACACGCTGACCGCCGCTCGGATTATTTTTTCTTTTTCCACATCTGGAGCATCACAGTTTGCGTACTGTGTTAAATAGCATTCCACGAGTTCTTGGAATCCCGAACAAAATTGTGCGATATCAGTGCCGTCCGGGTGGAATGGACGCATCCTGTTTGGATACGATTTGATGATCTGTGGAGCGGATAATAATCGAGACTGAGAGCTCCGATTAGAGCCGTTCGGTTTGCGTTGCCGAGGAACTGTATTTCGATAATCTCCGAGAAGATGAACGAAAGTACTTACTTCCTCGAAGAACGAGAAATCCCGCTCGATGAAACGATTCGTACAGGTCTCATACTGTTGTGGATTGCACACCTCGGCTCCAGCACACACGATGCCGAACACAATGAAGCTAAGACACCGAAACCAATACATGACGGTATCCGATGGTTATTTTTCCCGTCTTTCCGGTCGTGAGCCTTCGATTTCAAGTCATTTTCAACCTCGAATGGCGTGGAACCGTTTGTAGCGCGCGGCAACTGTCTCGGTTGCTCCGCTCGATTCTCAACCCGATTCACGACTTCCAAGGCATTCGAGATTGCGAGATTCGACAGGAAGGGTCCTCCCGTGACCGGAGAGCAAAAGCGGAGCCAACAAACGCGGAACTTGTAATCTTTCGGTTGAAACAAACGACAGGCAGCCGCGTGGGCAGCGAGCGGTATGGCGAACGGACTGCGACTGAAACGAAGTTCATTAGAAGTGCTAGGAATTCAAGTTTCAAAACGCAACACCTCATCTAGATGACAGGGATTCCGCAACATTCTGATTGCCGCTCGAACTCAATCTTAGTAAGCAGATATTCATTTTTTCTCACGAGATTCTCAGGTGCCTGCGGACTGGTCAACGGCGCTCGCCCACGTCGGCTCTTGCTTCACACGCTTCGGCTAGCTTTTCTCCTTGTTCCGAGCGGCTTCCGCTATAAGTTATCCATTCCCTCACCATGACAGTCAAGACTTTATATAAGACCGCTTCAGAGGGTCGGCAGATCGATGCGGCGCAACCGCGGCGACTCCGTCATAGTCATAGAGGAATATAGGTTCCGTTTGGTACGTTAGTTTTAAGAATTCAGAATATAGGCTTGATTCATCTCTCGACATAACTACAAAAGTTCATGGAGCGAGTCATAGCTCAGGCAGAGATTAGGATCTCCCCGGCCGAGATTACTGCCATAGGCAGGTAGATCTATTATCGTTTAGAGAAAGGCATCCCTCTTTTTCAGCGATCTCCTCGTAGGCTGCGACACATACTCCAGATTGACAACCACATCCTCCTCTCGATTCTCATATCTTTCCCTGTTCAGTGATGTGAGGAGAGAAGCTATTCTCTGCACACAGGAGACAAATTATTGTTGATTTTTTTTTTATTCATCATGAGCATCATTGGTCATTACAGCATTCTTCTGAATATTCAGCTCGAGTACATCGTTTGATTGATATAAAAAAATATTATCCTCTCCCGGGCTTGTTGGCCCTGACATTCGGTGATTTAGGTCAATCCTTACAATTTGTAGATGGAACAAATATATCATAATACCTAATTAGAGACATCAAGAGATGGCACTGTGAAGTTAGAATCTTAAAACGCGAGCAATGATTCAGCTCCTCCACGGATTACACAGACACGAGACGGGTCATATACGACGGATACGATTTAGGATCCGCTTTAGGAAATACCCATATTTTAGGAATACTGTCGATCGGAATGTGACGCACGATGGTACTCGATGATTCGGATCCAGTGCGGAGATTCAAACTGGTGTTTCTTCCGGCTGCGACTCTTCTACCAGGTAAATTGACTTCATTCGGTAAATATTTACAAAAGACGGAAGGAGCCTTGCATCACCCATCGTCTGTTACAAACCCGTCAAACGGGGTAATGCAAGGCCCTGGCCGCGGTTGAGGACTCCGGACGCGATTTGTAGGCTTTATTTCAGGTTATCATATCCATTGCTGACCGCTGATGAATTATGGGGGATGTCGCAAGAACAGTATACAGGAGCACATCCGTACTTGGAAGAGACTCTTCTCATTGCAGCGAGGAGTTGCCTCGCACATGGCGAATTCCGCGTGGTCCGCACCTCCCTCCGTGCATCGATTCCTTGTTTCTCTCAAGGAACTTTGACTATGCTTTCCTTCTTTTTCTCCGTTTTCGCCATCCGCAGAGCAGTATTCCAAGGCAAAGCTTCTTTGCCGCAGGCTCTAGCTGTATGAAATAGCTTCGGTGCCAAAGTATCGGTCTCCGAAGTTTCCTGTAAGATGCATTTTTCTCAGTTCGGCTCCTCGGTATGTCTAGGCTAGGAGGGATCCGGGCCGGGAATATTGTCTCAAACTCGCGCCGAATCATTCCCGAAAAAGGCGAAAAGTCTCCCTAGGCCTTACCGATACCAGGCTTGATGTAAAACTTGTCGTTGATCTCGGGATCGACCGCTGTGGTGACGATTTGTACTTTGGGGAAGGCGTAGGCGATCGATTGAACTCCCGAGGAGGCCATCAGCAGTGAGCACAAAGTTATATTGTCTTCAGGAACGTCGTGGTCGAGGAGGACTCGGATGGCCATCATGGATGCGGCTCCCGTGGCGACGGTTGCGTCCATCAGAAATATCCGGTAGTCCTGACGAAAATAGAGAGTGGACCTCGAGCTCATGGTACAAAGTGAGGTTGGAAGGTTGGGCCGCCCGATGCGCTCACTAACTCATTGGAACTTTCACTTCCTGGCTTGACCTCAGCGGACAAGCTTGAAGATCGCGGTCAGAGCAAACCAACGGACCATCAAAGGAACAGAGACCATACCTGTATGTCTTTTGGCAGTCGAAGATAGTAGAGTTCGGGCTCGCCGGTCATGGTGTTCGTTTGGATGAGGATTTTCCCGAGTCGGACATTTTTCAGTACGTCACACAATGCTTGCTCCATCGTCTCTCCGGCGCGAAGGATGCTAACCCCGCAGATTTTACCCGCTCCGCTTTTCATGCCTAGGGGAAAATCACTTTTCGTCAATTGGCTGAAGATTCGCTTGCATACGAATGTTTCGCGATGACTGGCACGCAAGACGAAGCATCTCGAAGCGCGGACCTTCATAGACGAGGTTCTGTTGAGTCTCGACGATGATCTGCTTGAAAGGAAGTAGCGACAACGATTCCTCGATCAACAAACGCATCAGTCTCTTCGAGTAGAAGATGAAAGAATCGCGATCCGTGTCCCGATTCCGGATGAACGTATGGATCCCTCGAACCTGCCGGGACAAAAACATCCATGTCTCCTTAGAAGTGTCGCGAAGATGGAGAACGCCGAGACTGGTGGGAGATCCACCGTTTCTCCGCCTGGAGACTTCTCAAATTCACCGATGAACCAAGGAATCGAATTCCGCCCACTCACCTGCGAAGTCTCGGGTAGAATGTGCAGACTGGTTGGCATCGGCTGGTCGTTGTGGATTTCGGCCAGTGCAGAGCGGAGTTTCAATCCGCGTGCTTGCAGCTGCGCATGCACATGATGCACTATGAGGTCGATGGCAACTGTGTTCTCGCCCCCTCTGGGCACCACAAGATCGGCGTGCCGCATGGTGGGCGCGATGTGTAGATCGTAAGAAGGCTTCACAAAACGCTCGTATTGACTGAGACATCCAATGAGATCACGACCGCGCTCCGATATGTCGCGTTTCAATCTACGCGCTAGACGAATATCCGAGTCGGTGTCGATGAACGCCTTCATGTCCATCATGTCGAGCAGGTCTTTGTGGGCGAAGCATAAAATTCCTTCGAATATGATCACGTTCGCTCCGTACATGAACTTGAAGCGCTTTTCGCGTGCATGTGTCACGAAATTGTACACGGGAACCTCGACCCGTTTGCCTTCTTTCAGCTTCTTCAATGTATCGATCAAAAGATCGAAGTCGAAAGCATCTGGATGATCGAAATTGTACTTGTTCTTTTCGGCTTGCTCATGCTGGTCCTCGTTGAGCACCTGGAGGATTGCGGCGATACGTTTAACGAAAACGAGTTCGAACAGTGACGACAATGAGCCCGAACGCATATGATGTATACCGATTCCGATATGATCGACTATCTGGACATCGGCATCGACCGGGAGATGAAAGCCTACCGTACCGCACTGACCTTATAGAATGAGTCCATGCTGAGCAATGTGACCCAGGGTACGTTGAGAGCTTCGATGATCTTCTTCGCGACTGTGGTTTTACCAGAAGCGCTGCCCCCACAGATACCGATAACGAATGGTTCGATGGTTTGGCCATGTTTATCGTACCACGGAGGCCTTCCGGCTGTGTATATGGTGCGCTGTCTGGTTCGAATCACTGGAGGGTCACCTTCAAACACGTCGAGGAACTTCTTAGAAACGTAGACAAACGCAACTGACGAGAAGTTCTGCCCCCTATATGATTGGGTCGTTCGCCAATGGAACATTGCCGTCCTCGGAGCGTGAGCACTCTAGCAAGGGATGTTGATGAACGCGCACGAGGTCCGATCATAAATCAAGATCATAGTCACTGAGCTTATAGAGTTCGGAACTATAGAATGATGATCTCGAGAGCGATCTCGAAACGCTGGATGAATCATCAGAGGGTAGGTATCCCATATCCGTCGGACACTAATGCATACCAAGTCTTTGGCCAGAACGGCGCTCGAGATCGTTCCCTACGGAGCACGAGGGTGTTCCATTATCTACAGCCCGGGCTACGCCGAACTTACCTTTGTTCGAAGAGGCAGAAAAAGTCCTTTCCCGCCGGTGAGTTTTGTTTTGATTCCTTGAGGCAGAGGGTGAGGTTGGTGTCTCCACTTTGGTCTCGAACTCTAGCTGAACATCGATTGTACCGCCGCCGAAGTCTTCGCTGTTTTCGCTGCTGCAGGGGAAGAACACCTCTAAAATGCCGATTTTCCATCCGCTTGACGGGGAGCCGGGTCTCATCTTCACGACTTTCCGTCATTCTAACGTGATTGACCCGTGGGGGTATAATTAATCGTTCTATCCGACCGAGCGAGTTCCATTCATCTTCGATTTCTTTAGACAGAGCCAAGGGAGCGAATATCCGGGTACGATCGAGACAATGATTCGCTTTCATCCCTTGGCTCTCGAGGTCCAGCGGAAAGGCTCCCTTTGAGCCATCACATCCGGAGAATTTCCCCGCTCCATCCGTATTTGGCATATTCATCGCAAAAAATATAAGTGTTACCAGTATTCAGTTCTCTGCCAGTGGGCCGTATCCACATAAGTGAAGGGCGGGATCCGCCATCTGTTCCAAGCAAACTTTTCGCTTCCGACTGAGCTGAATTCAGCGTTGACAATACTATCTGAAGCTCAACTTCTCCACGTAGCTCGTTACGGGCCTGAGAGGAGCAAACTTGCTCTTGGACCTCGGCGCGGCATGGCGGCGACGTCGACGCATGCGGTAAGGTGGTATGCTATCGTACGGATCGTAGTCGATCCGTGAGAGTCAAGTGAAAATATATCTTGGACGAGTTCGATGTCATTCGTGGAGCGATGAGAAGTCCCTTCCCGCAAGAAAAAACGATAACGTTACATAAGGTCAACAAACTTTTCTTGGCGATTTGCCGACAGCATCCTCGCTGAGTATCACCTCGGCAAAACTTTCCTTTCGCAGTTCGGGTGTACGGAGGCTCGAATTCGACCGCAGTCAGTAAGCTCCTTTCTCGCAGGCCAGAACTACTGATCGGGGGGATCGAGATCGAATTCAGCATAATGTCCTCGACCATCGTGAGATACCCAAAACTGTCGAGCATTCGAGCTTCCGGGATGACGGGCGGGCAGGCTCTCCAGTCGGATGTGTCCACGCGGACAACCTTATCGCTGCTGGAGCGTTTGACAACAATATGAGTCCTACCATCATTTAGAGCAGCCGATCAGCAGAGTCAAGTGACACTGCACCCTCAAAGCCCTCTCGCGATTTCTTTGAAAGCTAATGATGATGCTCGAAGCATCAGTGGATGCGACCCGCTTAACAAACTATCATCCAACGCGAAAGTCGGGGTTGCAGTGCCGGGTGCAAAATTAATTCATATGAGCTACAGGTTTCCCCTTACGGAGTGAAACCCTGATGTAACCGACTCCGAGGACCGAGCAAAACGGTCCCTTACATCCGACGTCTGTTAAGTCCAAACATAGACCTTGAGGGGCCCAGACTGTATCGGAGGGGCCACCCAAAGGTTCGCACCAGAATCCCTTCCATAACATTAAAGATGCATCAATGATTCTGACTAAGATCTCATGCTCGATCACACTTGAAGAAGTTTCTGCCTCGCAAGAGAAGGTCCGTTTTGATCGAGCTGAGTCCTATGGGACGAGATAGGACCCGGGCCGAGGAATCAGTCTCAGCTCCGACTGTCCCTGATTTGGTCCGCTAGGCCAAGTTTACCAACAAGGGAGAGCCCATAGGCTCGGCCGGGACCGAGCAATCGGTCCGTTATGAAGAAGAAAGAGGAAGCGTAGGAGGGAGGAAGCCTCTACGGTTTATAAAAATTGATTTCAACACAGAAACTATATATCTCCATTCGAGCAAGTCCTCATTCCCCATTCCTCGCGTCTTTCGGCTCATCATTCAAATACGATGCTAAATAAGTCAATGTATAATAAGTTTCCCAGGGGACGCGCCATGGACGATCTCGAATTTGGCGGAGCCCGAAGCGCGATGGAATGGTGAACCATTTGGAATCGAGAGGACGCGCGTATCCCGACCCGTCCTAGAGTTCTAGAATATGCCGTTCCACATCGGAGAAGCGACATCACCGTCGAACTGAGCTCCGATTCGCAGAAGCAGACACGCACCACGTGTCATGGGCCTACAATGACGATATGTCCGACCAAAAGACTGGTGGCCGTTTTTCTCCTCGGGAATATCCGCCGGAATACACCGAGGTATTGTGAGAATGAAAATCTTCTGCCTCTGTTCCCAGGAGCCCACATTCCGTGCTCCGTTATTCATTGGAATATTCATCCCGAGTCGTAACTCCGGGGGCCGCAGGCGCAGCCGCCATCAACGAGCAAGTGAACGCAAGCAGGTCACAGGGTTCCCTTAACAACATCGCGCCACACGGCAACTCCGGAGAGTGTCGCCGTTGTGGCAATCGTTGGTGATAACGCAGACAGTCATAATCATCAAGCTTGGCCGATGGTGACGAATCGGGCTTACCACTCAGAACTCGCAGAGCTCGGAGGATCACGGCCCGTCACGGCGACCATCGCGCCTGGTCCGGGAATCTTGGGCGAACTAAGGTCGCTGGCACTTCCGACAATTGAAGCACAGCCTATGATTCTTGTCCGTGCGAACTTGACCGGAAAACTTCTCTTTTGCCCGGTCGGACGACGGGTTGGTTGGTGCTCGGTCGGTCGGGGGCCACCGACTGAACGCGAGTGCTACCTTGCCGTTGGTTCAGCACGGCGGAAAGCAGACGGCGAGGATGGGGAGAGAAAGGGCGGCCACAGTCAACACGCAGTTCGAGACACGGGACTAGGAGAAGTTGCATCCGTTAGCGATCCGATTCAGACATCTCATTTCCCCGTCGGTTTCCAGGGATTTCTTAGAGTACAAAAATCACCGTCAAGTTTCCCAAGAATAAGTTTCACTCTTCGAAAGAGGAGTTCGTCTCCGGGGCGCAATAAGATATCAGCGGAGCCTCGGGCTCATGGCCCTGGGGCGGTGTATCGCGGGATCATCATTCCGGAACCGGTCCGAGAAAGCTGGAAAGCGGAGGCAGAAGTCACCAATGCATCCGAGGCGACCGATTCCATTCTCGATCGCATCAAACTTTTTCACACTGCGGGAGACCGTGACAGTGAGTTTGTCGAGCCTCGCGCCGCTCTTTCAGGAAAAAGAAGCCGCGACGATTAGTCAGCCGGCTGGCGAATGCCTCGATGGTGGAACCGCCAACTCACAGCAAGCTCTATAAATACAACGGCACACCGAGCCGAATACGCCCAAAGGAACGCCGAACTCTTGAGCCTTGGTCCCACGTGTTTCCGATGCCGCGTAATAAAATCCGTTCGTCGACGATCGGTGGGATCGAGGATCGCCGACGGGGCTACAAGCTCAGCCATTAGAGTGCTCGACAAGAAGCCTCTCCATGGGAAAAGCGATAACCTGGCATTCTGCAATTGCCATTCACGGCAGCATCAATCGCCTAAACAATCTCGACGGGGATTTCACCGAGGAGCGAACTTCTTATCGAAAGTTGAAGGGAAGCTTGCGAAAGGCTATGATTGAGCGCAAGGAGCGGTCGTGTACACCGCTGAGACCAACGCATCAGAAGTCGGTGCCTGGACCACACCATACTACGAGACTTCAGCGAGCTCGGCAGCAGCGAAAATCTATTTTTCGGATCGGTACAGAGGTCTCTGGAGAAGCTCTTCACGGCGATCGTATGTTTCGGCAAAAAAGGTGCGGTATCTAAGTTCCTAGATCGTGACGGATGAATTCCTCTCCCGTTGGCAGTAAGAATCGTCGTGAATTTTCTGACGGACTTGATACGCACCTCACAGGAGAGTTGCCGACTACTAGGAAGCTGTCGTCCTCGTGATTGCACTTGGGTCTCCGCTCCATATCATCTACCACTATCGGGTTACAGCTGCAATCTGCGCTCCAAAGTTGAGCGCTTTCGCAATGGGGAAAATTCCCTCGAAGATTGAGCACGTCTCAGCGATCGAGGCTGGGTTGAGGTATTGAAAGCACAGCTCGTTCGCAGCATTGATTTCTAGCGTTGATGTGGAGAGTGCCAAGTGCTCAGTGATTCTCCGAATTGGTATCAATCGCGGTGTCAATCCGATAGCGGTTGGTTATGGACCTTGTCCCGACGCGTTCGAGCCGAAGTGGATCTTGGAAAGAACTCCTCATCGAATACTGAGAGATGATCGCTGCCTCGACAGGGAGACTCACCGATTCTCCATCAAGTGAGACCTTATGGGGATTTTCATGAAACGAAAGGCTTGAGCCCGATGTGGATCCTGACAGCGCTCCATCTCCTGGGGCACCATCCCATCGAATCTGCTCTCGTTCGTGCTGGTCGATACGTACCTATATGTATGGTATAGTTTTCACAGTCGATGCCCTCGACATACTCCCCCCTCGAGCTCGCGGACTGCTTCCGCATGGATTTGGTGCCTAGACTCCTATGACAGCGCTCGGCTGCACAAACTTCGCGAAAATGGAGGATAGAGAGGGTCAGTTCCTGGGGGCGAATTTCGCATAGCTGTCCCACCACCCGTCTACCGACTTCGGGGACCCGTCTTTAGCGATGACGACTCGTTCCTCCCAGGACAAAAGCGTGAGTATTTCCACGCCGTCAGTCGGATATATTCGAAGTACTGCTCCAGAGACGCGATCGCTGACAGGCTTCACGGGAAGTGGGGCAGAGTCATCAGAAAACTGTGGTTCACAAAGCTCCTCAGAGGAACGCAATTTCATCCGTCGTGGATTTTTCCCTTTCTAAAGCGCTTGGCAGGAAATCCCGGAGCGAGGCTAATGAGTTCCCGGATCGTGGGACGGATGCACGATTCCACGATGATCAGTATCGAACGAACCGGTCCCTGGATATATCGCTCCGATGCAGCGATCATCGCGATGAACAGTACCGGGCAAGCCAACCCCCTTCTCCATGGAGCACTCATCGCCTTCTTTGTCAGACGAATTGATCGACACACCGCGACTGAAAACAGCGGTGTCACCGATCTGACCGAGAGGAATCCGTCGTTTTTCGCTCGGATGCACGGTTGCTCTCCCCGAAGCCCTGAAGTAGTTATCTCAGCTTGAGCCCGTCCCGCGTAGGAGCTTCTGCATCCTCAAATTGCGGACTTCATCTCTGGGTACATCAGTGCTTCTCATACTTGGTTCGGTACGGCCCAAAGGGAGGAGATGTTCCCCGAGCTGGCGATAGTGTAGCGTTACTGTGACTGACCTGCACTACATAAATGTTTATCTGCGATTTTTGGAGGCGATAGGAGTCGAAAGGCGATCCCGTTCCGCACTGGGCAGCTCTGCCTCAGCTCCACAATAAGTATAATACTATATGACGGTATGTCAAACTGTGAACTTGAGTTTTGGACCATTGTGAAAGCTGGCCATCGGGACCGCGGTTACGGAGAGTATTAGTCAGGGATCTTCCAAGGACGACGGTCGGTTCGGTCCGAAACAAAAGTAGAGAAACATTCTCGAGTTTATGGTGTAACGAAGTGATTCTTGGAAGCGCTCGTAATAAGCGCCGGCGCGGACTCGAAACACGATACTCTCGAAATGGAACGATGCTTTTCACCGCATCGAGCCTCACGACACTATACCTAGAACATATCTACGAAACAATCTCGAACATCGCTTTATCAGTCAATCAGCCCGTCATTCGATTGATCCCATGAATCGATCAATCCATCCATCCCACATGGAGTCTATCGGCTCCATCAGCATTCGGAAATGAAAACCCCCAACAGTATAGCGTGCGAGCACATCCACCCAGTCTTGGTGAAGAAACACGCGGAAGCTTATCGCTAGCGCTGGAACGTGACGCTCGATTACACTGCGATGCGTGGTGTGTGCCCGAGAGTCCAGTTACGGACTGCTCTGATCGCACAGTCTCTCGTGAGCTATCTTCCCTCAAAATACGATTAACGCTTAAATCCAGGATGAAGATGATCTCTCAGGAATCCGCGCGTTCTCGCTTGACTCGCTGGAAGGTCCTCGCGCAAATAGGTCCTCCCACGAGTTTCGGACAGTTTAAAGCCGAAGGATCGGACCCCTCACGAGCGCACGACATCGGATCTTCCCTCCGATTCTTCTTCCTCTGAAAACTTTCATACTGTGGACCGAAGGGGAATCACTTTCGTCAACTTACCCATTTGGCTGCCGCAACTCGCATACGACGCTCATCGCTGACAAGTGCCTCAGGCCGCAGTGCCGAGCCAAGACCTCACAAATGTTTCGAAGTTAATGGGGAATCCCAAAGCTGCATAGCGTCAGATTCGAAGCACCGGTGGACTTTTGTTTTGTTTTGGTTGTCTGATGGCTTCCTCAGCGGCGCCTCTCTCAACATGGCTGAATGATCAACAGGTGATACCCGGGGCGGTGCATCTTTCTCAATCGCCCTCGAATCGGGAGCGAGCGGAACCGCTATCGAGCAGTCGATCCACGACTCTCGAACGTGGCAGAGGGGTTCATGGGCTGCTATTGTGGAATAATCTTCGGCCCTTTAGGCTTCCGTCGTATCTGGAGAGAGCAAATCTGGTTATTCGATGATTGCCATCGTCCCGGAACCAACTCCGGGCTTGTAGTTCCTGTCAGACTTGAGCACTCCTCAGTGTCGCATCTCAATGCTGGCTGTCCCTGAATGCGGACCCCGCGGAATTCAATGTCTTTCGTGTCGTATGATGAAAAAGTTATCATGGAACGTCCGGCCTAACTAATCGGAGGAGTCAAGATGTCTTAGTCTGATAGTCATAGGAAGGGACACGGCGGCCTGCATTCCGCTCGCGATCAGACGAACGTTCACCACCTTTCGGTTTCGTCTGGAGTATGTCCCCATGTGACGTTAACGACCGCACGAGGTCACGTCTTCCTCGATGATCCGCAGCGTTTCGGGTTCCCATCCATTGTGGTTCACCTCAGGTGGAATTCATTTCCTCCCGTCGACTCCTTGCCAGACAGAGAGAGCGCGTAATGCGTCTGGAAATTCCCCGCCTCATGGGTGACCCTGGCTGAGCCCCTCTCTGCCTCGGAGACCGACTGATAGGGACCCAGTGGAGGATAAACACCTCCCCGGTTCCCCTTCCTTGTTCGGATCGACCTGACTGAAACATTTCTGCGATTTGTATAACATCGGCCTCCTCGAGGCAGTATCCCCGAAGTCTCGGATATACTCTGCCTGTCGGCTCCGATCGTAGACACGTGGTCCCGTGGTTGTTGCCGATTATAATCATCTGAGAGAAACTGGCTTACGCTGTCGCGACGATGAAAGAAGCAGGCCGGTCATGACGATCGGGATATGGACGGCGGACGCCTCTCCAATGAGTCCACGAGAGTAACGACACGAGTCCCGATTCCCGATGCTCAGACAGAGGACCTGAGAGCCATCGTAGACCAACCATCTGTTGAAAAGTCGGGCATTCCTGAGATTCACTCACTGTCCCCGGACGCGGCAGATGCGTAAATAGGTACATTCAAAGATGAATGATCAGCGATTAGAACGTATCGATTTCATCGCCATGGCATCAACGTGTTGCCTTGACCCTGATTCTGGCGCATCCTCCCAATAACGAATGGCATCTTTGCAAGAGCGATCCGCTCAGCTTCTGTCCGTGCTGGGAATTCCTGGGGAAATGCCTGTTTCGGGACTCACCAAAATCGAAATCGTCACTCTTCCTAAACGCCGTGCCATCAAAGTCGGACCTCCCGGCTTCGCTCAGCTGTGTTTTGCAGACCTTGGAATCCGTCGCCTCAAGGGCTCTCGACTCTGCTCCACAGATGTGTTTGATGATTTCTGTTCCCCATGTTTCTGAGGAATTCGTGCTTCCATTCATCCTAATTTCAGCCCTGTCTTCGGTTCCCAATTCCACTATAGCTCGACTGCTTTGTTTTGACTTCCCCTGCCATTCGCGTGCACGGGAGAATACAGTGAATCAGCTACACGGACGAAGACCTTATGCGGAAGACTGAGAAAGAATTGGTGGTCTTCGGATTTCTCTCACGTCGAAATCGTCCCCCGACCGGGCGATCACTTCTGTCTGGAAACCGCACTCAACAAACGATGACGCATAGCGTCGCGACTCTCGAGATGGGTGTCCGAGAAGACTTTTCCTCCATTTCAGATGAGAAATTTATTTTTAGACATTTCAACACTGTATTCATTCAACATTTCCTTTGATTTCAGACACATATCCTGCAATCCCCATCTTCACTTCTGTTCACCTCGCCTGTGGTACTTTTTGGCGAAAAGGTTTCCTCAACATTTCGTTAAACTTTCCCTATCTACATATCCATCTGTACAATGTTTGCTCTCCATTTCAGATTTTGTTACTCTCTGGCACTATATACGACGACGATATCGCTACCTACAGAGGCAACGTTGAGGGATCGGTTCCCGTCGCGCGATGTGGGAACTTCGCCGCGTGAATCGGAAAGGATTTTCTCCTCCGAAAAACGACGAAGAAAAATCTATAGAGTGGTCGAGACAGTCCCATCCGATTCTTCTTTCTTGATCTGATCGATACGAGACTTGTCTGCAATCCGCACCAGATTCTTCTCCCTGAGAATGTCCTTTATGTCTCGGATATCCTTGACTTCTTTGATATCCTTCGTTGGTAGACCTCCACTCCCATTATTGTTGCCAAATATCGTCTGCGTAGGACTTGCGTTTGCCGAGGACGATGAGATCAGGAGGCTGCCGACGATTTGGGCTGTGGGTAGTGAGTTGCCGTTTCCTGAACTCACGGGACTGCTGAGACCCGATCCAGGACTCGGAAGCAATGATGGACTCACCAGACCTGTAAAGCGTCAGTGGCAATTTCACAGAGGCGGAACTCTCGGAAAATCAGAGTTCATATGACTCGTTCACATTGATCAAGTTTCACAGCTCACCGCTCTCGTCGGCTTCCTCGTTGCGTGGCGTCGTACAGCGACTCCCATTGTCTTCTGCTTCGGCCTGATCCTGGTATTGTGATCGATCACGGGAAAGAATCTCTCCGAGGGGCACAAGTTCGGGCTTCGCTTTGGAACCGGGTCGCCTGCCAGGCAGGAATCCATACTCGGATTCTGGAAAAACAGAGGTCAATCAGTAAACTCAATATCCAGTCCGACGGGTCTCTAGATTCCCTTCGTCGAGTGATTGCGACTCGTGCGGCGCTTGATGGCATATCCCGACCGTCATTCTCGAAGAGCGGTCCCGGGTTCCCGGATATGGGAGCCCTAACCAGGAGGAGGCACCCGAGCCAGCCTTGACCTGGGAGCGCAAGCTCTGATTCGATTCGGCCGTTAGAAAGGCGAAGCAGGGAGGCAGAGGAAAGGGTGGGGAGTCGACTATCTCTTATCCCAATTCACTGAGCATATTGTGTACACTTGTCGCGGCGGAGGAAAGAAATTTCTTTCCCCACTACTATTTGCCCATGTTCCCCTGCTTCTCGGGAGTCTTACCAGTTGTACTCATTGTGTCCGTCGGCGCTGAGCTCGGATATGGTTGTTCTCGACGTTTCTGCGCGCGTTCTCTTTTCCGCTTGATTTTCTCCTTGAGTTTCTCACGGTCCCGGTGAAGTTCGGGATTGAGGTTCGGATTTATCGGCCAGTGCGGGTTCTGCGGCAGCGTCTCCTGCATCTGAAGTCGGGTCTGCATCCGACGTGTCTTGTCCAAGTTGGCTAGAAGATGCATCATGTGATGCATGCTCTCATTGGCTTCTTCCACGGTGCGTTCGCGACTGCGTGAAGCAGAGAGAGAATTTGTCTTAGGGGTAGTGAAGAGATTGCAGAATGGGGCTCGCTGAGCATGAGCTGCTCGATATTCCACGAAAGGTAGACGACGGAAATCTGCCAGAGCGCCCAAGCGGATTGCGTGCCGCCAATTCGCGAACGAAGCATTCATCGAATCGCAACAGGACGTATCAGGCGATATTCATGAACATTCGTGATATGTTGCGGATCTCGATCGGTGACAAAGAATACAGTGTTTTTGCTCTTTTTTTTTCATATCAATCTCGATGAGCTGATCGAGCTACCCAGCCTACTGATGCGACAGCCATATTCGTTGCGCACTACGAGCACGTGCTCAAAAACACACCTATAACGCGGACTGTTACAGTTGGACGCAGGTGAATTAAAGTGTGCAGACTGCTGATCTCTGAGTGCGACAGCTACCCGGTGCGGTGGAGTCACTGCTGTCTGCGGGCCCGAACCCCCCATTGGTCGACGAGCATGCGGTCCCGCGATCGGCTCCGACGCCGGACACGGCGATTGTGTGCCCGGGGTTGACGGCAGAGAGTGCTCGTACTCTGCCACCGGTGTAACGCTTCGACTCTCGTCGCTGCTCCTGTCGAATGAAGAATTATTCAGAAACGAACCCGATTCCAGCTGGACCGTGCGATGGGTCCAATCATAATGCGCCTGATCATACGGAGTCCTCGCTCGCCTCCTCGAAGAGGTCATGGTAGAATCATATGTCATTCGAATGGTAAAATATTTCCTTTAAACTCACACGTCGTCCAACTGCTCCCTCGAGCTACCGCTCTGCTCTTGTACTGTTGGAATACTTTGCTGAAAATGACTCTGATACTGCTGGAAGCCGCCCCCGTGCGAACGACTTCGAGAGTGCTTGTAGGGATAAGCTGCGTTTGGGATCACGTTGAAACTCCCATTTTGACCGAGCTGATCCCTGGGCGGCACGGAGGGCTCCCGTTCTTCTAGTCGTTTTATCGCGGGATTGGAACAACTTCTATGCGGTCGGTAAAGATACGATTGTCCTACTGGAGACGCATGGGATGCCATTTGTTGGATACCGTTGTGTGCTATGTGGCCATTGACGAGAGGAGACGGAGATGGGGACGTTACCCTTCGAGGCATATCCATCATCGAATGAGATTCCGATACGCCTGCAAATGCATCGAGACAATAATTCCAGTGTCAAGTACGCCAGGTATCACGATATGTCTTCCATCGGCCCCGAGTCTGTAGATCTCGCAGGGCGACTCCGAGAGAGACTATGTGCACACTGGCCCACGCTCCTCTGCTCACCTCGTCCAAATCGACTCGGGCTGGCTGAACTCGATCTCTGTCGTAACCGGAGTACATCGATGGGTGTTCCATTGAAACGGGTCGCGTGCACTGGTAAGCCCTGTCCATGGCCTTGGAACGGTGTAACGTAAGGCACGTTTACGTAATTGTGTGAATACGCGGCGCGTGGTCCTCGCGAATACGTATGCACATCATCGTATATGTGATCGTAAAATCCGCCGTGCTGATGATAACAACATTTTCCTGCGAAATAACCAATATCGCCGCCTTATTTCCTCCGATCACTCGGATCATGCATTGAGGGGAGATCACCCTGATGAGGCTTCTAAGCAACAGCCTCCTCCTCCTGGAATCTTGAAGCCGCGACTAGACTCGAAAGGAAACGAACCATTGCAATGTTTGTTCAGATGCGAGTAGGAATTGGCTCGAGCCTGTTGCCTCATTATCGATTCGCACTCGAGTCGAACCATTTCGAGCTCCAATTTCAAGAGCGCCATTTCCCTTGCTAATGTCGAGTCAGCATTGTTCTCTTCCGACCCCGTCTCAGACGACTCGTTCGATAAGTAGGAGCTCCTGAAAGGGCGGAATAAATGATAGTAAAGCCCACCGCGATCCCAGCGGAATGATATAAGCCTTCAATGTTCTTCTAACAAGAATTTTACCTTCTCACGTGGTCTCTGTGGATTGGTATAGGCGGCTGAGAATTCAAAGCTCTCGGATCAAAACGTTGACTGCTGGATCTCTGGGGGGTCCCTTTCGGAGGGGCTATTTGGCTGGCGGAAGCTCGTCGCGGTACGCGACAGCCGATGGGTGAGGACGAAGCGCTCAGAGATAGTTGCTCTTGCAACGCCGGATGAAGAATCGACGGATACAACGGTTTCTGTTTGTGCACATTTGCGTACGTCAACTGATGTCGGGAGAAACTCTCATCACTCAACTCCCGACCAGAGCAGCGACCGATCCCGGAATCATTCGTATCCGATGACTGCGAAAGTAAAGGAGATTTTCAGCTTCAACCCGTGGAAAGTTCTCACGTGATAATGATATTGTCTCCGTTTCAGAGGGTCGACGTCCGCGTCACGTTGTCGTTGGGCGAGCTTTTGTAGACGATTCTCGGAGCCGAGAAGCGTACGCAGGTAGCACCAGTTCAGCGACCGGTCCGGGGGTCCCTCAACTTTTGATATCTTTCCCTCGCCGCAGCGGGAACCAATTGAAGGTTCCATGGTCAGCTTCGAGTGTTTCGGGCACGGAACATCGATCGCTGAAGAGCTGTCTCGGATTCATTTATCGAACGGCCTTATCGAGCTCGGAGCGACTTCGCCCTGCCCCACGATCAAGATTTCGAGACAGTCGAGCCACAAAGAGGCGGGCTTAGAGAACACCCGTCGGTCGAAATTTCACGGACAATGGTTTGCTTTGAATCGATAATGTCGAGTGGGAAATCTACACCGGATACCTGGGGATACTTACTCTTTGAACGTAGAGCATCGAACGCTTTCGATCCACGATTGCCCGCCGGCTCATTTCCGATGCCTGATCGATGCTGACATATTGAGGACTACTGGCTCCCGTGTCCGTCAGCGGTGGACTTGACTTGAAGCGTGCCGTTTCTATACAGTGTGGTCTCGGTCCCGCCGTGATGGCTCCATTCGCACTCTGACCATTGACAGCGAGGTACTTGAATCCATTGGTGCCATAATAGCCGCTGGAGATGTAAGAACGGGCCGTTCGCTGAAACAATGCAGAGAAGAACCGTGTCTGAGTTTCATTGAAGAGATTTGAGCTTCCGAACATAGATGAGGACCCATGGTCTGGAGCTGCTCAGAGTACTCTTCGCTGTACCCCCGAAATTTCGACATTCCCCATCGCAAACATGCTATCCAAGAACAGCGGAGCGATTCATACGTCGTCTCAATCAGAGAGGAAACATATTCCGCTCCAGTCTACGGTTCGACTCCTTTAAGGAAGTAGTCATTTATGGGTCCAAGTGACGATTCCGGATGCTAACGAAGATGAATCGCGGTGTCTCGGGCTGGAACTCAGGGCGTCAAGTTGTTCCCAGGATGATGCGGAGTCGGGGCCATATTGCTCGGATTATACCGACCCCTACACTTCGTGCTGCCGCCATCACCGTTCGACCTTGGAAAAGTTTCTGCTATGGCATATGTAGTGCATGATTTTTTTAGCCCGTGTCAAACAAAGTTACGGATATCTTCCGCGGGTGCAAGGCGAGCTAGTCCCAAAATGAGGTTGCCGGTTGGCTGCTCAACTCGGGGCCGCTGTGGTCGGCTGCTTCTCGTCAAATCTCGCAATTTGTTCCTCTACGATAGGTGTCAGAGCTGGGCCTAAACTCCGAGTTGATAATCGGATTACTCGCCTCTCTTCCGCACATGATTTCAAATAGCTACTTTGATCTGACAGACCACTCGGGCTACAGGCTGCGAACCGCGAGATGGATGAAAACGAATGAATTCCAATGGCTCACCGATCGCTGAGACATGCCGAGTCCCGCGCTTGTCGGTTGCGGGCGAGGAAAATCTCGAGTATTGAGCCTTGCTGGAACTTACTCCGCTCTACCATCTGCTGCACCTGAGAACGCGTGAGAACGTGAGCAACGAGAAATGGATCGCACGTGCGTCTTCGAGCACCCGGTTTCACGCACTTCGGAACCACCACAACCGCTTGCGGCGTCCGGTCTAAGTGGTATAGCCGTAGTCGCCACTCCCGGGCAGCTCCTTTCCCGGAGTCTTTCCTCGAAAGGGAGAAACTTCTCTCCAGATCCGAGGAGACGACGATCCTACGAGTTTTGGGGGCTTCGCGTAGTTGAGCGACGGAACGGAAACCCCGACTCAATCCCTGTTGACTCCGATATTCTCGAGAGCAATCGGAATAGACGAAGTTCGAACCCTGGATTCCGCGGCCCGTGTACATCAACCAACACAAAGGGGGCTCGGACTCGACCGGTGTTGGTATTTACTCTCAAACTCTGGAGGGCTCCGCTCCTCCGAGACGGGGAGCTCTGACGTGATTCGAGAACGATCGATGTTTGCAACACGGATCCCTACCAGCGAAACCCGAGTTTCACTCAGAATCTCGCCGCCAGCGCCGAGTCGTAGGTAGTTGCGAAGTTGACACCTGCCGCTCATTTTCCGCTGACGGTCATCAGGCTCCGAATTCGAGCAAGTGTCAGAATTCTCTCGGAGAGCAGAACTAATTTCGGTCGTCGAGTAAGTATGCCCCAAATTACGTCTTTTGAGCGCTTTCCCGCAGAGCGTGTTGGCAACTTTGAAAAGCCTCAACATCTCAAAGCACTCAAACACGCCTCCCGAGCTGACGCGTTTCTCCGTTGCGCCACGACTCTAGCTCCTGCCGCTGCAGCGAGCGACATTTCTCACTCTCAGTCAGAGTTGTTTCACCCTGCGGGAGACTCGTCTCCGGGAATCAAATTGTTCTGGTGAGATACCGGACAGCATCCTTGAGAACTCGGTGCAGATTGAAGTCTCTTTGAGGGAAACCCCCACCATATTTCGAACGGGTATGCTAGGATTCCTGGGGCTGAGTTCCATTCCACTCGTCGGGAGAACAATTTCAACGCAGGGTCTTGAATTCGTCTCAAGAGTCCCATATGACAAGCTGACTAATATGTTGTTCCTTCTTCGTGGCAAATGTGGCAGCTTGCCGTGGCAGCCTACTCCTGGGCCTCCGTGAAGTTTCAACAGCGGAACCATTTTGTCATAAACTCGCAGACTGAACTCGACCGGCAGGCTTGCTGGTTAGCTCGGGTGCTAACTCTGCCATAACCATCCGCAATCATGCTCAGCTGAACCCTTAGCGCTCGTTCCTCTTCTGATCCCCCGCTTATTTCCAAAAAACTTTTATTTGGCTCTCGCTTCGGGGTCGAAATGACACGTCCTCTGCCTGCTCAGAGTCCACAAGACCTAACGGGAAGCGACGCGGAAAAACACGTAAAGCTCCAACATATCTTGGTAGCTTTTCGGGGGAGCGAAGAAGCTCGCCGCAACGACACCGGCGACACGAATGACGCTATAGCTCCTTCCTCGTTCCTCTCTGCGCTCGTTGCCCACCCTCTACGACCAGATCTCTAATCCCGGAATCGTCTGATGGCGCCTCGTTTTTATTGCCACCGCAACTATTGTCCAACTTGTCGCGAAGAAGGCGATCTTTCTCCTCCTTGTCGCATCGGAAACTCGAGTCCATCGTAGTCTGGAAATCCTCGGGCGACAGGGGTGCATCCGGATTTGATGGCCAGATATGAAAGTACGACAATAGAGAAAGTGGAGAGAACCAGGGGGGAATTCCCAAGAAATGATTCAAGATCTCGAAAACGCTCGGATCACGTTGACATGCCGCTGAACAGCCTGTCGGAGGGAATTCAGAGTTCTCGCTCGCGTGATTTGCGTGCCTTCGAATTTTCAGTCGCTGCTCGGAACGGTGCTCCATTCTCGAAGACACTCCCCGACCTACAATTGCAGCTTGCTACGATGCGCTCCGAAGTGATTTTTTTTTGTATTTGCTCACTGTGTTCCTTTGTTTCATCGGAAACCATACCGGGCCCGCCAGTGGGCAGAGAGAAAGCTCCTGTGCTCTCGAAAGCCTCTCAGAACTCTGGTACCGACGAAGGAAACTTCGAACAAGAGGAGAACAATCATCCTCCCCATCAAAGCGGAGCCTACAGCCAGTATCCGAGCCCGCAGACCAACTATCCCAAGCCGGTCAACTACAACAACCAGGGACATAACCAACAGAACTCAAACAATCAAAACAATCACTTCAACAACGGTAACCAGAATAATCGGGTTCATTTCTATCTGCGAGTGCCTCCCCCCGAGTTGAGAGATTCTTCGAGCTGCGAGGTCTACGAGGACGTCGTCATCGACGAAGATTCCTGTCTGGTGCATTGCATGCTTAACGGTCGACTGGGCGCCGTCTTCTTGAGAGATCAAGTGCGTCGCACTTTACAGCGTTGTCTCGGACCCAGTCATGCGTGTGGTTTGTGCAGAATCAATACGACTAATACCATGGTCTCAAGTTTGGGTAAGCTCCATATTCTGAACTTTGGGCCTCGTGAGGCTATACGGTCGTAAACTTGTTGGCAGCTTTCATCGCTCGGATATTTATCAGAATCATCCTCGGGAATGCGTCGACATCATTCCGGCGAAGGCTCCCGTCGCTGTCCGAATTCTAGAGTTTTGCTCGAATGTCAAACGCTAATCCTAATCGCTATGCCTCCCTGCGGATTCCAATATAAGGTCGATGTCACGAGGGGTGTCAATGCCGTCCATTTCAACAACTCGAGCTCCATCGGATCGACGACGACATGAAAGAATGCGCCACGATCAAGCACTTCAAGTACCTCCCGCTACGGAAACCTATTCCCGATAACGCGGGACAAGATATCGAAGTCTTCTTCCCGCCGGAACAGTCTCGCAACCCGCAGCTCTGCGAGCCTTACGAGAGTCTCAGCCTCACTGTGAGCCCCGGAGATGAGCTTGTGACGCTGTACCAATGTCAGTGAGTATGAGCGCCCGCAGTTTTACATACTCGTAGTCGACCGCGAGGAACCGACTTTCGCAGAACGGGAATAGCCATCATGATCCAACAGCGAATTTCTCGTTTTCCGTACGACCGCACGGAATTTTCGTCTCCTTCGCACAGTAACCGTGTGAGTGTCTCTCCCTCTCGCGCATTCCAGATCGTTCTGTGTGATCCAAGGTTCGATTGGACTCCTGAACTTCCGGTCCAGTCCCAGGATTATCGGGCCGAATAATAATTTCCGCTGCATTGGAATTTATGACCGACCGTACTCGAGAAACGCTCAGCTCGTTGGAGCTTACGAGGTATGAATACGAACCCCAGTCAGAGCATACTGCTTTGTGTACTCAGATTTCTCGTTTTTAATTAAATGGATCCCCAGTCCCTGCAAGGAACATGCGGAGGTGGCTTTTGCACGACCGAGGCAGGCCCGTACCCCAGCTCTCAGAACAATGTGTTCAATCCTGCTCTTCTGACTCGAAATAGCACCAAATCTCAAGTCGTCGTCTCGAATCATCGGTGAGCGAGGAGCTGCGATATGCTCCCAGGAATATACGTCGAATCAGATTCCAACTTTTCGTCTCTCCCGAAGTTCCCCCGCGACGCAGTTTCCTGTCCCGTGAACGATCGAACGAATGCTCCATTTATATGGTTTGCAGGTCGTCCCTCCCCCCGGCAACGATGTCATTGCAGTCGCAGACCTCACGCCGCACAAACGTGAAAAGCGGCTGAGCTCCAAAGGATTCAACGTGGAGCAGAAACATGGGAGGATGTCTGGTAGTTGTTCCCGTGCAATAAACAAGTTGAGATCCGAGCCGAGCCTACATTCCTTGATCTTCGGAAACATGAACTCGATCGAGACCGGGGCCAAAATTTCCTTTAGTCGTGTTCCTCGACAAGGAGCAGTGCGGAAGCCGAAAGAAGCGGCTTGGTCAAGTCCGAAACGGATGTCCGAGCGTCTGAAACTTGGAACAGAAGCGCCCTGTTGAAGTTATCGTCACACACGATTCCGTCCTGCAGCAGCAAGCAGATCCGTCTGTCTGCGGAGGATTCTGAGGCCGCCAAATTGGCCCCGTGAACCCCGAGCGGAAGTTCAACCGCTGATTACTTCCGTTGAAGCCTTCTACTTTGTCTGACTCGGCTACCCTCTGTCCCGAGAGACTTGGAAATTTCAGACG